GTTATTGCAAATTTTCAAATATATATCGTGATAAATATTTTTGGCCATATCGCCCTGCTCTAGTTAGATATTTTATTATAAGTAATTATCTTATATTTGCAGAGAAGCTACATCACCCAATCCTAATGAAAGAGGAAGAATGGCAACAGTGTTTAAGTTTAGAAAAGATCCTTGTATCCTACAAATACAATCAAAATATGCCCCCGCCCCCACCCAACATAAACCTGCATACTTAGCGACTAAAAAGAGCCTAGATTACAAGACAGCTTAGGTGCTCTCAGTTTCCAGTGATATTTTGCACAATTTCCCACAATGGTTTTGTGTAAGAATCCTGCAGAGGTCAGTATGGCTAAGTATTCCTATCCATGCTCTACCCTCAGCAAGAAGCAGCATTCAAAGCCACAGCAGCACTTCAGATGCATGGTGCACCTGAGTAATGCCGATGTATTTTTAACCCAACGCAGCTCCACTCGCATCACTTCCTGACACACGCTGTCACATCATTAATTGAAGCAGCTGCTTTACTGTGAGCTCTGCCATTAACTTGCTCACAGCGGTGTGTGTCAGCAGACGTTCCAGTGTTTATGGGGATCATGCAAAGAAAGAGATCAGAGCTGTGTCTGGTTTACATTTATAGCTAACTGTTTAAATTGGCCCGTGTCAAGTTGTGTCTAGAGCCTACACAAAAGCTTAAGGTGTCACGAATACTGTACATTACAGGATTAATTGTGTGTGCTTTGGTGGTTTGTCATATAAAAACTATTTGCAGAGTACTTTCTTCTCATTTCTTGCATAATGTGCACTCAATGTGCTCAAAAACATCAACCATTTAATAGAAGCAATAGATAGAAGAAACCATCTAAGTAACACTATTAGTCAGGCCTGCATATGCAAGAGTACCTACAAAACAGATAGTCCTGACACCCTTACTGAGCACTGTGCAGCAACACCAGCAACAGAATGATAGTGGAAGATGAAGAAAACAAAAAGAGGGAGTCCAGATTCTGATAATGATATAAAAATGTATTTAGAACCTTTATTTTAAATATGGTGACCCAAACCCCATTATTACTTTATTATCATGTACTACACTTTTCATCACCTATGAATGTAGTTGGTGCTACATATTTAAGTGGATAATCTTAGACCAGTTTTCCCCCACACTCTCCTAAAGAGCCACATATACAAAAATATATGGACCACAGTATGTTCTAATTTCTATTTTTCTACGTAAATAATCATCAGCAAAAAAACCCCAAAAAAAACAGCACACTGATACCACTAAAAGTACTCATGTGTTTACTTAGCTCTGGTAACTGGAGTTAAAATGTCACGGTGATAGAGATGTAGGATGGCAGACTACCAAAGCATTAAAATGACATGCTCGTAGTTGACCCTTTTCTTACCTCTTTGTCTGTTTTGAGGATGTTCTCTGTGGCAACTGGGCTTACAGCTGTGCCCAGAGGTTTGACCACAGCATTTGCCACCTCTGTGCCCACACTTGGGGGATAGGTGTGCAAAACACTTAGGTGGCCCTGGTCACTCTGCACCACCAACTGCAACGAGCGCCACTCGGAGTACATGCTGCTGATGTCTACTGCACTCTACTCACACCTCCTGCCTCCACCTGCAGACACACAAATCCAGAGGGCAGCTTAATACGGAAAGTTAGGCACACTACCAATCGGTTACTTGTCCAAACTATAATACCACAGTGGATACAGTCGTGCTACTTGTGAACTGCTGTTACATTGCAAACAGAGAAATGGTCACACCTCTTTCACTGTTTAGGTCTCGACCACCACAGCAGTTTTTCAGCTTTAACTTGTTTGACTGGTTTGTCAAACAAGTTGACCAACCAATGAAAATGCGTAGTTCACACATTTTGGAATTTGTAATTAAATGTTTTGTTAGCTACAACAAAACACGTATTAGCGAAAGTAAAATGAGTGTGGACTAACTGCGGGTTAGTTCTTTAAAAAAAAAAAAGGAGTACTTCTTGATATGTGCCGTGACAGGACAAAAGATCCAAACAGCCTAGATATATCATGTTTTGGCTAATGTTACGTTCTCTCCGGTAAGAGAAAACAAAAAGTATTGCGGTCAGCATTGCAAAGGTTGGATGCGGGTTTTGTTTTGCACTGAAGCCTTAAACTAACAACAGGAACGAAACATTTGTGCCCTACACTTCGGCTGGGTAATAACAAGCCGAGGAATAACCAGGAAACGGTTCTGAAAACGAGCAGATTGCTAACGATGGCTAGCATTGACACCAAAACATCTTCCTCATATTGTAGATGAAATTATATGAAATTAACGACTGGGTTGTCTCTATGAACAAGTCAAGAGACTAACGGTAATAAAAACCGCTTGTGATAACTTATCGATTATCCCAAACTAAACTGCAGTAGATCCGATGTTGCTTGCTAGCTAGCTCAGCTAATGCTCACTACGCTAGCCTATTCGTTGACATTAGCTAGATTAGCTGGCTGTCATTTGTGCTAGCTAACTATCCAACTTTGCAAGGACGCTAATGTTTACTAAGCGGATAGCTCAGGTACTTTTTTCCATTTACCTTGACCAGCTGGAAATGATGTCATAACAGAGCTCTGAAACTCGCAGTTTGTGCTTTCTGTATATCCTGGTCTAAACTATAACAGCCTCCATCTTTGCAATGTCAAGGCTTGGTTATTGCAGCTTTACGGGCTAACGGGAAGCAAGATCCGTAGGTTGACGCCCTCTACTGTTTGGTACAGTCTATCGGACCTGACGCAGCCCTCAGTTCATTCAGTTAATAACACAATGTTTTTGTTTTTGTTGTTGTTGTTGTTGTTGTTGTTGTTTTTCGGGCGGGGGTGGGGAGGTGGGGTAGATACTATTTGTGAATGTACTTATTTTGTTTCACTATGCTCCGATTAACTATAACTAAAACCTCTATTTGAGAGGTTTGCGTGATGCATTAGTATTTTCTAAGGAAGTAAAGGCATGGAGTAGGCGAGGCATGCTTTGGTTTTGCTAGTAAAATGTGAAATAGGTGCAGCAGTTTATTGACACAAATACAATGCAAACGTCAATGTAAATACAGCGTTGACAGCAAAAATGTAATTTGTACAATCCCAATTCGCTTGGTATGAGAGTCTTTGTTCTTCACTTCAGTCTGAACTCTTCTATGCCAGCTTTCTTGACCTTTTTTAAGTAGCACTCCGGGTTTGGTAAAGGAGATGGATGGAGGGCTGACATCCAAGAGGAGATACAGGAGGCGGACTGAGACACTGCATGTTTAAAAGCCCAAAGACAATCAATTAATACAACGATGAAACTCCTCCAATATAAGTGGTTGATAAGAAGTTACATAACCCCAGTCAAACTGAATCGCTGATCGCCTGTCATCCCAGATAGCTGCAGTAAAAACTGGAAATCAATCACACAAACTCTATCAAAGACTGTTGGAGTAAATATACCTGTTGAAGCAAAAATGTGTGTGTTGGGTATATATCCAAAGAACTGTGATTTTAGCTCCAGACAGCTAAAATTAATTGACTTTGGACTCCTGCAAGCCAGGCGGTTAATACCTTTGTAATGGAAGAAAATTGATGTACCCTCAAGTCATATGTGGGTAAAGGAGATGGCTTCATATATTGTATTGGAACGACTTACTTATATTGAAAGGGCGTAGATTTTGAAGAAATAGGGTTACCTTTAGCTGAGTTTCTGAGACATTATGAAGTGAATTAATTTAGAAAATGATACTTGGTGCTGAGTTTTTTTGTTTGTTTGTTTTTTGTTGTTTCTCTTCTTGCTTTGTTTGTTTTACCCAT